TAGTTCGGTACACCTGCAGAGTCTCTGAGAAGACCCCCTATCCCTAGGGCTCCTGGCTTTCCTAACTTGGTCCTCTCCCAAAGGGTTAGGGATCCTTTCGTGCCTAATCGTTGTGTGTCATCGCCTGGTCTCGGCATCGTCCAGCCGATCCTCGGGCTTGGTATCGTTCGGACGTGCGCATTTCTTCACGGCGGGGGCAATCGAGGAGCATCCTGGGTCATCGGGCAACAAGAGCCCACGCGCGAAACCGAAGCAAACACTGCGAATGGACGTCCGAGCGATGGCGAGCGGGGTTCTCCCGAGGTTGGAGCCGTCTGCAGCACCAGTTCCGGCGAGCAGCAAGGGCGCGCAGGTCCGAGGCTCGGGGTTCGGGAAGGCTTGTTGCCTTTTTGCCGCCTCCATGCAGAGGGCAGCTGTCGGGCCCCGCGGCACCATCGGGCACGGATCTGGGGCGAAACATTGCAGAAGATGGACCCGGGGAGGGGTCTGGGGACCGATTTGGAGCGCATCCGGGGTTCAGCCACATTGCTGACCGATTTTCTAGGGTCCCAACTCGATTAGACCCCCAGGCCGCTTCCAACTCCACAGGGTGTGGTGTGGTGAGTCGGTGTGGATTCGGGGTCACCGCACGGTTTTGGGGCTCGGGTCGTTCTCCGAGGACGCTTTGGGCGACCGGGGCCTCCGAGGTCCCAAGGCTGTGCGGTGACGGACCGCGCGGTGAGGTTTCTTGGGGTTTCGAGGTCACGGCGCAGTCCGTCACCACGACGATGTTTTGGAACCCCCGAGATCCCCATCCCTCGAGCCCCGTCAAGATACGCGACCTCAGAGATCTGCCCTTCTAGATCCTGTGTCTTGGGCGGCGCTTCGCCCGGTTGGCCGGGTTATCTGTCGATGGGGGCGGACAGTTCTTCCCGGGATTCGGGGAGGCGATCCCTCGGATATTTACTTTGGTGGGGACCCAAACCCCCGCCGGGCCATGGTGTCTCGGCCTCACCAGCCCCCCGCCCCCCCCGGTGGAGATGGGTCTGGCGACAGTCGAAGGGAGCAGCACGTGTCCGCACCCGTAGGGGGGTGTAAAAGCCGACCAGGAGGGCCTAATTAGGCCATGCCAGTGAAGGCATCAATCGTTACATCGGGCGTGTCCCTCTACAGGAGGAATATTCAAAAATAGTCAAAACATAGTTTTGGGACGATGTTTTAAACATTTGTTTTGCAAAGTTTGGTGTCTTTTCCGACTATTGCTTTAATTTTTCTTCCAAAATCAGCTTGTAGGGGGACATGCCTGATCTAATCGTAGTTTGTGAATCCCGAAGACGGACGCGTTGCATAAACATACATTTTCGGAGGTCCGCGTGGACTTCTCGAGTCTGTGCTAGGCAGTCCCCGGCAGCGTCTCCGGCGCCGACCCTGGCGCGCCAGAAAAGCGGTCCATCGCCGTTCCAGGACCTCTGAAAGTGCATGTCCTATGTTTATTGCGAAGGCCTGACGGCCGGTGCCGCCGACCCTGTTCGCAATGCGCAGCAAGAGGCACGGGCTGTGGGATGGTTTGGGGGAACGGGGAGAAGGACGAGAAGGTGGGGGAGGGAGGTGTCGTATCTGACCCGGGACTTCCCCGGGACTCCCCCGGGACCCCCCCCGGGACCTCCTCTCCCCCCCCCGTCGGGGAAGGGAAAGGGAAGGGGCTTCCCTTCGACTCAATGACGACGTTGCTCAAGGTCGGTACGGGGGGGGGGCGTCGTATCTGACTCGGGGGGGGGGTCGCTACCCCCCCCGCTACCCCCCCCCCCTCCCGGCGGGGGAGGAATGAAAGGGAAGGGGCTTCCCTTCGACTCAATTACGAGGTTGCTCAAGGTCGGCTTGGCTGGAGCCCAGGGGAAGAGGAGTCCCAGGGGGGGGCGTCGTATCTGACCCGGGGGGGGGGTCGCTACCCCCCCCCCCTCCCGGCGGGGGAGGGATCAAAGGGAAGGGGCTTCCCTTCGACTCAATTACGAGGTTGCTCAAGGTCGGCTTGGCTGGAGCCCAGGGGAAGAGGAGTCCCAGGGGGGGGCGTCGTATCTGACCCGGGGGGGGGGTCGCTACCCCCCCCCCCTCCCGGCGGGGGAGGGATGAAAGGGAAGGGGCTTCCCTTCGACTCAATTACGAGGTTGCTCAAGGTCGGCTTGGCTGGAGCCCAGGGGAAGAGGAGTCCCAGGGGGGGGCGTCGTATCTGACCCGGGGGGGGGGTCGCTACCCCCCCCCCCTCCCGGCGGGGGAGGGATCAAAGGGAAGGGGCTTCCCTTCGACTCAATTACGAGGTTGCTCAAGGTCGGCTTGGCTGGAGCCCAGGGGAAGAGGAGTCCCAGGGGGGGGCGTCGTATCTGACCCGGGGGGGGGGTCGCTACCCCCCCCCCCCTCCCGGCGGGGGAGGGATCAAAGGGAAGGGGCTTCCCTTCGACTCAATTACGAGGTTGCTCAAGGTCGGCTTGGCTGGAGCCCAGGGGAAGAGGTCTCCCAGGGAAAGGGAAGGACAGAGACGACGAGTACAAATAATGACGGAGATGACGGCTCGAACGGAAAAGCCCCTCACACACGCCGACAGGGTCGGCGGATTTAGTTTCTTCTGGGGCTCTGAGGAAGGTCGGCGGCGAGCGGTGGGGGAAGTGAGAAGGAGAAACCCTTCTCAGAGGGCGGCGGGACTTCTCAGAAGCCCTCGCGTCCTCTGATAAGTGCTCTGCGTCTTCGGGGAGGCTCAGAACAAACTTCTCAGAAGGCCGGGAAACTTCCAAGCCTTCCTGAGAAGGCCCACCCCTTCTAACTTCCCCATCGGGCTCGCCGCCAAGAAGGGCGATCCTTTCCCACTGCAGGCCTCCTGGATGGGGTCCGAGCAGATGATGTCGGAGGACCGCGCCGCATCGCCGATGCATCGCCGATGCGGCTCGATGCGGAACCCGACTTTCTCCACGCGGACGTCGCCGATGCAGATGTCAGGAAGTTTTCAGCGGAACGCCTGGCCCGCCCTACCAACACGTCCGCAGGGCCACAAGAGGGTCCCAAGGTAGCCCAGGATTGCCCGAAGAGAGACTCAGTCGGCGACGTCGAGCTGAGGCTTCAGGCTGCGACAACACGCTTTGACATTTCGATGTGGCACGACGCTGCGACATCACGCTGTGACATCACGCTGCGACATCGCGTTGTGACCTCTCGCTGTGATATCATGCTGTGTTTTTTTTCTACTCAGCGAATTCAATCCCACGGTTAGAAATAATCTCGGCATCAACGCACTAACCAAGTACCGATACCGTGGTACCAGTTGCAATCCCGAGCAAGCGCGATGAAGACCAGCATGACGGTAAATGTCATATAACTGTTCCCAGCAAAGAAGGCGATCGGCACTGCCATAGCTAACCAGGATAAGACGAACACACATTTGATTGGATACCAATCCACCAGCCCGCGGAAGAAGGAGGAGGAGGAGGAGGAGGAAGATGAGGAGGAGGAGGAGGAGGAGGAGGAGAGGAGGGAGGAGGAGGGGGAGGAGGAGGAGGGAGGAGGAGGGGAGGGACGGAGGGAGGGAGGGGGACGGAGGGAGGGGAGGGGAGGGGAGGGGAGGGGAGGGAGGGAGGGAGGAGGAGGGAGGAAGCAGGCGCGAGGACGGAAGGGGGCCGAGGAGGGCGCCACCCTCGCCCAGCGCGGTGCCGACCCCGGGCCCAGGCTCGGTGCTTTTTTGCATGAGCCCTCTTGGCTTGGCCCAGGAGCGGCTCAGCCAGGATTGGGACAGGTTCTCCTCCCTCCTCCTCCTCCTCCTCCTCCTCCTCCTCCTCCTCCTCCTCCTCCTCCTCCTCCTCCTCCTCCTCCTCCTCCTCCTCCTCCTCCTCCTCCTCCTCCTCCTCCTCCTCCTCCTCCTCTCACTGAAAGAGAAAGAGAAAGCGGACACGAAGCGAGCAAGGGAAGAACAAGCGGTCAAGAAGCGATGGGGTGAGGAAGAGCTCTAGCGTCCACAGGCAACGAGAAAAATATGGAAGCGCACCCATCCAGGGTTTTTTGTCGGCGCCCGGGTGGAAGGCCGAAAACCACCCAGGCGCCCGCGACAGGGCGCACTTCCAAAAGCGGCAAGGGGTGGAGGTGAGGAGGGAGGAGGGAGCCAGGAGGGACCGGAAGGCGGAGGAGACGGGCGCGCGGCGGGGAGGCGTGAGCCACCAGACCCCCCCCTTAGGCGCTCGCGCCACCCGCTGGAGACACGGAGCGGGGAAGGAGAGGGGAGGAGAGGGAACTGAACAGAAAAACAGCAGCAAAAGCTATATAAACGGACACAGCGAGTGTGGAGGGGAAAGGGAGGAAGAAAGAGGGGCGAAGGGCGCCTGGAAGAGAGAAAGCGGGCAGCGTCGTCCCCGCCGTCCGCGCTTCAGCGCCTGCGCGCCCGCGGCGCGGCGACACTCCCCTGGTCGCGGGGAGCCCCGGCACCGCTCAGCGCCTCAAGAGGCGCAGCAGGGCGCGGCGGCCGGGCGGCCACACCGAGGTGTTGTAAGCCTCGGCGTTCGCCCTCTGGAGCGCGGCGGCCAGGCTCTGGCGCGCCGCCGAGAGCGCGGTCGCGTCGCCGGCCGCCCAGGTGCGCAGGAGGTCCTGCGCTTCGCGCCCTGGCCAACCGAGCGTCTCGAGCGCGAAAGCGCGCAGTGCCGCGCCGGGGTAGCGGCGGTGCTTCCGCTCCTCTGCCGCGGCCGCCGCGGCTCCGTCGCGCCAGGCTCGGCCCCGCCCTGCTGGAGTCGCGGCCCCGGCTGCGGCGTTGGTCACCACGACGTCCACATACGCGGTGCCTGCCACTGGGTCCACGTAAGTAACGTCCAGGCGCGCCGCTTCCAGACGGCCGTCTTGGTGGACCCTGTCCCAAGCGGGGACCAGCTGTTCAGCGCCCTCTTCCTCCTCATCCTCCTCCTCCTCCTCCTCCCCCTCTTCCTCCCTCCTCCTCCTCCTCCTTTTGCTCCTTGCCCACTGACCCTGCCCTGTGGAGAGCCCTCCCGCCGAACAGGGCGCCGGACCCGGGGGAAGCGGCGGCGCGGCGCGGCCGGCGGAGCCCGAGCGGAGGGGGCGCAGGGGCTCCGCGGCGGCCAGGACGCCGCGGCCCTTCTGCGCTCTCGGGCGCTGCCAGACGGGCCCCAGCAGCCTCGAGGATCGAGCTTCGAAGGAGGGAAAACGGCGTAGATATACACTTTCGTTTGGATGCAACTCTTGGGAGGTCAAATTCTGTTTTTGCCCTGGTCCGAAATCCGGCTTCATCCAGGTTAATCCCGCTTAATCCGGCCTAATCCTGGTTAATCTCGCTTAATCTGGTTTAATCCTGCTTAGTCCGAGGCCCTTTCTGGCGTAACAGCTCCCAAATGAGGCTTAATCCTCTTTAATCTTTCCGACGAAAACCTCCCAGTAATTGCCTCCTAACTTTCGGCGCTCCGCGCGCGGATTTCTCGGATGTCCCTGCTGGGGCTACCCTCCGGCGGTGCCTCTGGCGCGGCCCCTGGCGCGCCCCGCGCGCCAGGGATGGGGCTCCAGCGCGGATCCAAGAACTCCGCGCGGAGCGCTTCAAGTTTTCTGTTTGTGCATGTTTTAATCCTCTGCAGACGTGCCCCAGCAGCCTCGAGGATCGAGCCAGAGCTCCGACGGTGCGGTTTTTGTTGGATCCCTCGGTGTTCCTTCATTTCGGCCTCTGGGGCCCGCTCTCGGGCCCCAGGGCCATCGACCAGGGATCCGGGACGAGAATTCCCCCCCCTCCCCGAGGGAAGCGGTGGAGACCTCCGGGGCCCGACGAGCGACGGAAGGGAGCGGGGTCGACGGCGCGGACATTTGCGCGCCAGTTTACCGCGTAAGGTCGCGCAAAAGGGCCCGCGTGAGCCACCGCGGAAGGTCGTTGCGCCAAGCGGATCACAGGCTGAGCTTCATTGCTCGAGGCTCTTCCCCCCCCTCGCTGTCGTTGAGTCGGCCATGTCCCTCTACAGGAGGAAGGTTCCAAAATAGCCAAAAAATAGTCTGGGACCATTTTTGAATAGATGGTTGCCTATTCTTTTATAGTTCTTTCCGAAATCCGCCTGTACGAGGACATGCCCGACCTGACGCTGTCGACGCCCTGTCGCGCCCTTCGCCCGCGGCCCGCCGCTGCGCCTTCGCCGTCCCCTCCCGCTGGCCATCGCCGCCGCCGTCGTCTTCCGCTGTGCCGTCCTCGTCGTCGTCGTCGTCGCGGGCGTCGTCGTCCGTCGTCCGTCGGCGCCCGTCGGCGTCCGTCGTCTTCGGCCCTGGCGCCCTCGTCGTCTTCGTCTTCGGCGCTGTCGTCTTCGTCTCCGTCGTCTTCGTCGTCGTCTTCGTCCATGTCGTCGTCGTCTTCGTCTTTGGCGCTGTCGTCGTCGTCGTCGTCATCGTGGTGGCCTCAGGAGGTCAGATGTCCTGCGCCAGCCTGCGGCACGGCGCTTGGGCAGAAGAAACGTGCGCGTGCAGTTTTTGGAGCTGCCCGCGCCCTGCGCTTTGTAGCGGGCGGGCGATTATCCGGCACGAGCACGATTGATGCGCCAGTTTGTACACCCCTACACTGAACCCATTGCAGTTTGGGGCGGCCGCGCTTCTGGACCAGGTGCCACTGGCTTGCAGGTGCAGGCGGGGAGTCGCGGCGGCAGGTCGTCTTTGGCGCTGCCGATGCGCGTGTACATGGGCGTCCACGTGTGCTGAAAGCCTTTACGATCACATGGGGACCTGTGGCAATTCTGTGGGAACCTCCGTTATGTTGGGATATTCCTTAGGGAAGATTCGAAAACATGTGGAAACAATGTGAAATCTCGGGAGATTTTGGGATTCCAACCGAACAAAAATTCGACTCCATCCCCCACCGGCAGGAGGGCATCTCGACGATGATGGCGACGACGACGGCGGCGGCGACCACGGTAATGACGACGACGATGGCATACGACGGCGAGTTTGGTGAGCGTCGACTTCGAGGCGGATCCAGGCTTGGCGGCGAAGACGCCGTAGGAGTCCCAACAACGCGCAAAATCGCATTTCCCTGCATACCTCCTCTCCTCGATCCTCGACGACGGAGGGACGACGAAAACGACAGCAATGATGACGGCGACATCCGGGAATCTCGAAAACCTCCCAGAACCTCTGTGGGGACCGAGGTCGCAAAATTCAGGAGGGAGAAAGGAGCACACAGACATCATTGATCGTGGACTCCCAGGAACATATGGGAACATGTGGGAAGTGGGGAGGAAGCCAAGAGTGCAGAAGTTATGGGACAATTGCTATGGGGAATCCTGGCATTCGCCAGCCATTTGTTTCATCGTGTGTCCCCGGGGCCCCCTCCGAAATCTCCGAACTCTTCGGGCAACCGGGCACGGCGACGAGGACGACCGCGCCAGCGGCGGCCCCCGCGGCCCTTCCAGGAGCCCTCGGCCCTCGCTCTTCCCTCCCCCGTGCCCCCTCGCTCTCGCGATCCCTCCTCGGGCCCTGCCCCCGTCCCTCCGCGTCCCCTCGATCGCTCCTCCTGCTTCCTTCGAAGGACAAACGGTCGAGCGCCATCGATCGCTCGTCCTGCGATCCTGCCTCCTTGTTGCGATCGAACCTTGATCGCTCCTCCTCGATCGAAGGAAAGAGGCCGTAAACATAAACTTTCGGCGCTCCGCGCGGATTTCTTGGATCCGCGCGTGGGCCCCAGGCGGCGCCTCTGGCGCCGCCCCCGGCGCCAGAGGCGCCGGGGAGGGTGGTCTGGCGCGGACCCAAGAAGACCGCGCGGAGCTCCAGAAGTCTATGTTGATGCAGTTTCTTCTGCCTCCATTCCTCGATCCTCGATGACGGCGGCTGCGACGAAAACCACGACGATGCCAACAGCGGCGGCGGCGACGACACCGACCTCCGAGGACCGATGACCTCCGAGAGCCTCCCATGTCCTCTGAGGACCTCCGAGAGCCTCCCAGAACCCCCAGAGAACCCTCTCTCGGAGAACTTCGGGAGAGCCTCCGAACATAACCGAACAAGAACGAACTCCGAAACCGACGGCGAGGACGAAAACAGGGGGCGACGACCAGCGGCGGCGACGACGACGACTGGCGGCAAGAACATCCGAAACAAAAGCTCAGAAAGTCGACGACGACGACGACGTTCACGACGACGACGACGAGGACGACGATGACGACGGCGACGACACCTCCGAAAGAAAACGCTCAAAACTGAAGACGACGACGGCGGTGGCGGCGACGACGCCTCCCAAAACCAAGTGGTCCGACAACGACGACGACGACGATGACGCGACGACGACGACGACGACGACGACGACGACGACGACGGTGGCGACGATGTCGACCACGACGACGACGACGACGACGACGACGGTGGCGACGATGTCGACCACGACGGCGACGACGCCTCCGTCAACATCTTCGACGACGACGACAACACTTCCAGAAATAACGCTCCAAAAGTTGACGGCGGCGGTGGCGGCGGCGACGACGCCTCCAAACAACAGAAAGTCCAACGAGGATGACGAGGACGACGACCGGAGGCGACGACGACCAGCGGCGACGACGATAAGACATCAGCGACGGTTCTTAAACAATCAACGACGACGATACCTCTTAAAAATCGGAAGACAGCTCTCCGCTTGGGCCCCACCGCAAGCCCAAACGGCGAGCAGAAAGGGCGTAGCCCTCGCACGCATTTGGATGCCCACGCTACGTCCTCGTACTACTCGCGGGCCCCCAGCACGGTGACTGCGTTGACGGCATCCTGGTCGTACCAGGGGCACGCGTAGGTTGCGCCCTCGGCCACCAGGAATGAAATCGTCTCCTATCTGTTGCGCCATATGTTGCGCCCTCGGCCGCCGAGAATAAAACCGTCTCCCATCGGTTGCGCCATAGGTTGCACCCTCGGTCGCCGAGAATACGTCTCCTAGTGGTTGCGCCATAGGTTGCGCCGTTGGCCGCCAATAATAGAGCCGTCTCCTATAGGTTGCGCCATCGTTTGCGCCCTCGGTCGCCGAGAATACGTCTCCTAGTGGTTGCGCCATAGGTTGCGCCGTTGGCCGCCAATAGTACAGCCAGCCGTCTCCTATCGGTTGCGCCACAGGTAGCGCCCTCGGCGGTCGAGAATAACAGTGGTTGCGCCATAGTTTGCGCCATCGGCCGCCGAGAATAAAACCGTCTCCCATCGGTTGCGCCATAGGTTGCACCCTCGGCGGTCGACAATGAAACCGTCTCCTATTGGTTGCGCCATAGGTTGCGCCCTTTGCGGCCGAGAATAAAGACGTTTCATTTTGGTTGCGCCGTAGTCTGCGCCCTCGGCGGTCGAGAATAAACCGTCTCCTATTGCTTGCGCCATGGGTTCCGCCCCAAACCGTATTCTATTGGTTGCGCCATAGGTTGCGCCTTCGGCGGCCGATAATGCAACCGTCTTCTATAGGTTGCGCCATCGGTTGCGCCCTCGGTCGCCGAGAATAACACCGTCTCCTAGTGGTTGCGCCATCGGCTAGGCCGTTGGTCGCCAACAAGTTCCTCAGCAGCCTGAGTGCGCGCAGCGCGCACGTCCAGCTCCTCGTCGCGGGCCGCACGGCGGCCTTGTTGGCCGCCTCTGGAGTCGCCGCAAACGGCGGCAACACGACAGGGCAGAGCGGCGGCGACGCAGCAGCGTCGCGGGCGACAGCTCAGTGGAAGTGGAGCCCGCCGCGACGCCGTCACGCTAGTGGCCTCCCAGTCGGAGCCACTCCTCTCATGATTTTCTCGACCTTCCTCCTGCGCTCCGCCTGGGCGTTGGGCTTGAGCGCTGGAGCACAGGCCAGGCCGAGCCCCCTGTGCCTGCCCTTCACCTCCTTGGCGTACTGGAAGCACTTCAGGCAGACGCGGTACCCGAAGAAAATGCGCAGGTCGTGGCCGCCCCCGTCCACGTCGAGCGCGCCAGAGCCGGTGGGCGGCGTCGCAGCAGGCTGGGCCTTGGCACCCCCGTCGCCTGCCGTCGGCGGCTCCTCATCAGCACGCAGGTCACCGTCACCGACGGATCCCAGAATCTGGCTCGCGCCACGATGCTGAAAGGAAGAGGAGCCCGCCGACGATGGCTCCTCGTCAGCACGCAGGTCACCGTCTCCG